TTCATGGAAAATGGGAGTCTTGAAAGTTGGTTGCATCCAGTTTCACAAACAGATGTTACTGCTGCCCATGAGCAACCAAAAAGCTTAAACCTTCTTTAGCGATTAGGCATAGCAATTGTAACGCCCTAAAAATAAATACAACAAACTCACCTCATAAGCGAAAATGTAATTGAATTAACTTACTTTCATTCATCAGAGTTTGATATACAAAATGTGACACATGCAATATACATTCATAAATAGTCTATCCTGAATCTACAGCATGTGTTACAAGTAGACAAAAGATGAAAGTTGAATAGACATTCAAATGCCCTAAAGGCTTACAGATTTTTAAGTCGTTACTTGGTTATAACAAAGTGAGACTAGCTTAATACAAATAAAGCCCTTGGCTATACAAAAGGATGTACAACAAAAAGGAAGCTCTTGCTCCAAAGTCCCTTCAAGCTATTGCCCTGGCAGAGGCATATCACCAACACCTGAAATTGGTTTTCCCCAAATAGAGTGAGCCAAAGCCTAGTAGGAATAATTTAAGACAATATATGAGATTTAGCAAAGATATAAGCATGATGCGTATTTACAATGTCAGTAAACCATTGATATTCTGTGTAGTCATAAAGTACCAAAGTTCATATCTTAATCCTTTTTCTTTCTTGTCAATTCAAGTTAATTCATTTCATCTCAATTAATGAGCCAATTTCATTATCTTTCTGACAACCCATCTGAGATTACAACTCAGTGGTTCCCAAAATAACTCAACCATCATACAAACACTTCAATTTGCCATTTTATGAAAATTTCGTCCGCGGGATCGGCACTCATGTATACGCGCGATTTTGGGACTTTCACCTTGGACACACATGCCAACTTAATTTCAATGGAGTCCATCCTCTATCTCCTCCCAAACAATGGAGTACATCCCCTTTCTCCTCCCAAATAATCATACATATAAAATGTATTTAAAACATAGTCATATTCAATGACAATCAACAAGAGATTAGTTTTAAATCACCTAATCCTCATGCAATTTCTACAACACTCATAGATATCCTCCACCGATAGTCCAATACAGATATTTCTACACAGATAATCAATCTCAAGATAGATAATTTATTCAAAATTTCACAAGTGAGAGATAATACATATTTTTCTCCACCATTTATGTCCACAGCCATTACATTTCACATTTTACAACTCCAATTTCATTTATTTATACAAAATAAATATTTGTAACATTTTAGTGCAAACTTCCATTTTTCCCCAAATGTCACCCAAATGCCAAAATCAACTATTTTGTCACAAAACAACCTCATTTTCCAACCTCATAATCCTTTATATCATATTCACATAGAAACCCCTCTTTTTGATTTTTAACCCAAACCCTAAGTTTGTCCAACATACTCCTAAATCTCACTTTTGTTACACAACAACCAATAACTAAGCTAAAAACCATATGAAAGTGTAGAAAAATCTCTACCTCGAAGTTAAAGGACCAAATGAGAAGTGGAGAAACTCCAAAGATGCCGAAACCAAGGTTGATTCGGATCAATATGTTGCTATTGATTGTCGACACCCCATTTTTAACCGCCCGCAAGACTCAAGCGCTTTGCCCGGTACACTCGATGATGAAAGGGGTGTTGTGCATGGTTCGAGATATCAACGAAAGGGCTATGCTTAAGCTTTGAAACAATCCCAAACCTCCCATATTCACATTATTTGTACCTCAGAAATCCATTTTTACACATTATGTCACCATATGCTGAGTCTGAAGTAGAGAAACAGGGGATCACGTTGAGGCCCGACTGTGCCTCATTGAGAGTTAGCCATGGTTATTTATGGTCGGTCGTGCCTTGGTAGTGAGAAACACTGTTCTATGCGGGAGCCCGCCAGCTGTCCATTTTTGAAGATATTTATGACCTCTCTTGCTCAAATTCTACAAAAATGAAGTTGTATGTCTGTTTTGAGGGTTGAAGAATTTCTATAAAGTTTATACACCTTCTTGAGAGCTCCTTCTTCTTGTACAATCAACTTTTAAGCAAGTTTACCACCTTGAACCTATATCCATACACCATATACACCTTCACACCTTAGCCTTGAAACCTTGGTTAAGCCTTGAGCATCATAATTCAAGCTTGAGAGTGTATTTGGACTTAGTTTGATTCACAAAAAAAAGCTTACCTTTCTTAAGAGGTATAAGCTTACTATCTCTCTCTTGCTTTCATTTCTATCATTTACTATCAAGTTCTTGTATTTTTTTTATTATTTTGATCCTTTTTCAAGTGTCTAAGCTTGGGTTTGGAGAGCTACCAAAAGGTAGAGAGAGTTAACACTCTTTTTTACACCTTCACCTATAGCTCAAACCCTTGTTTTACACCCTTTTTCTTTGCTTTCCAAATGGATTTTCGGAGTTTAAAAAAGGCTAAAAATCATGTTTTGAGGTTTCAAAAGTGGAAGGGTTAGCCACCCCTGCTTGTTCTTACTTACTAGCCTTGTTGTCTTTGCTTGTTGTTTAGCTTTTTGGGCTCTTTTCATGCACTTTGAGCCATTATTTTTTACCTATTAGAGGCTGTTTTAGGGCTGTCCTAGGTTGTTTAATTGGTCCAAGCTTTGATTAGTTCATTTATTGTATCATAAGTTCTTGTACATAGCTTGTTGCATGTTGTTCTAGCTTTCCTCAAGTAATTTCCATGTTAAGATGCCTCATTTTAATAATCAGCTTACCATTTATTTCTTTCATTTGGGAGTTATTTTAACTAGTTGATGGTTGTTCAAAATATGAACTATGCTTAATGGCGTAATCTCTACAGAGGTTCATTGTCAATAGCATAGTCTCTCTTTTATGTTGAGAATCACTTCCTGTTTGACACACTTCTTATTTAGTGGACGTATTCATCACCTTGGACTTAATGGACTAAAGACTGGCAAGGACTAATGAATTTGGCTTAAAATGAACCAACTCACATAAAGAAAATGAGTTATATTGCTTGGATTCGGTCGGACATTATGTTAAGTCTATTGTGTCAAGGGTTGTCTTACATCAATTCATGATGTTTCGATGAGCCTTGAAGCGTTCCTACCTCCCTCTTTGAGTTCACTCTATGATAGGAGGGAGGAGTAGTTGTTGTTCATTGCATTCATTGATCTTTGTCCAAATTGTTCTTGAAATCATCAAGCAATCAACTTGCTCATTGATGGTTTTGGAAACGACTTCGTTCTTCTTTAGAGGCTTTCCATAACAGAGAAGGGCAGAAGGGATAAATAGGGCTTGACACTACTTTGTCTACACTGTTTTCAGTTTAGAGCACAAGAACAGGATTTTGCATAAAATTAAGGCACGATCGGCCCTTTTGGGACTCGGCCGGGCCTCATTGGGGGCCAGCCGGCCATCAATGTTTGGTCAGCAGTATGTTTTGCAGAAAACAGAGAGCAGTGGCTGAAAGTGAAACAGAGCAGGCCTAGGCAGACAGAGCAGTTCCTGGACACTGTGCATGTAACTCTTGTGCATCCTTGCTTGCATCGATGTTGTAAATGAATGCTCCGAGTATTGTTGTAGTTAATTATTATTGTTACAATTAGTCTTGTTATAATTATTGTTGTAATTATCATTATTGTTTATTTGTAATTGTTGTAGCTAGTTAACTTAGATAGCTAGTTTATTTCTCATTATTATCCTTGTTGTAACAGACTAGCTAGCTAGTCAATTCTTTACTTATTCATTCATTTAGTTTGTACTAGTTAGTTTATTCAAACATTCGGACATTAATTCGCACCCTCATGCGAGGGCCAACATGTAATAAGTTGTATGTCTTCCAATTCCATGTCTTTCTCCCTTTTACTTATTTTCTTACAATGGTTAGTATAGAACATCATTTTTCAAATTAGCATTCTTATGCTTAGCATTCTTATTCTTTGCATCCATTGTCTTGTATGCATCCAAGGTTCGGCTCATCATACTAACCAAATGTCTAAATTCATTGCTTGAATACATGCTTTATCGCATGTCTTGAATTGTAATCATATACTACGCTCATAGCCGAGCCTATTAACTACATACTTGTATGTGTCACATTAGTCATATTGCATTAGTTAGGAGCATGCATATTTTCTAATTATTTTGTTTTGTTTTGGCTCAGAGTCCTAGATGAGCAATTTTGAGTTTTAGTATCTTGCATCAAATGTTTGTGTTGCCATGCTAAGGATATTTCCATGAGGCTAATTGCTTAAATGATATACCTGTTTGAATACTTGTGGATGAAGGCTAATTACCAAAATTGGGAGAAGTGGATTAATGTATGAGCTCACTTTTTCCAAGTGACGAGTATCAAAAACAATTTTCAAATAAACATGAAATCAAAGTGTTTCAACTTTTGCGAATTAGTCTATACTTATGTGCATCACATAGTAATGTTAGTCTAATAATCGGAACAAGAGCATATAATGTAAATAAGAATCACATCATGATTAATAGAGGCTGATATTTGATCAGGCGAATGGGATGCTCAATTCATGACCTTCCCCTTTCGTACCTAAGTTCTAGAGCCGATACACTTTGGTGATGACAGACTAATGGCCTTTGGTATGAGTCTTGGGTTTCCTAAATTTCTCAAAAATATTTAAGTAGCGACTCTGAAATCTAGCAAAGCAGTCAATTTTTGGCATTTGATTCAAACATCGATTTTCCAAAAGAATTTCCAAATTTAGACTCTTTTGTGTTTTCACTATTTCACATTGCACTTTGTGAAATCAGATTCAAAATCACGGGAGTTCGAACTGTAGGGCTAGTCATATCCAAAAGGAACACGAAAAGCAAGTCACATTGATATGCTCTACCTTTTTAACAAAGGTCCAAGGGCGGAGAAATCACTAGATCTAGATGAAGAAGTAGAAAGAAGGTAGGTTTTAGAGAGAGATGGTCTCAACTTTATGTTTTAGAGAGAAATAGATTTGAAAAAGTGATGTAAAAAGTCATTTTTGCGATCTGATATACGCACAGTCCACTCAAGCGCAAGAAGTGACGCTCAAGCGTCAGACACAATAAGTTGTTCCGCTCGAGTTTAAGAAGTGTCGTTCGAGCGCCAAGACACAAACAAAAGGACGCTTACCGCTCGAGCGCAAGAAATGATGCTCAAGCATAGAAAACACACATTCAGTAGTTTTGCAGACAACAGACCAATGCTCGAGCGCAAATAAGGCTGCTCGAGCGCTCACCCGCTCGAGCATAGGAAACGCCACTCGAGCGTAGAAAACACTCTCCCAATACTTTTGCAGACTTGCAAAAGTACTGAGAGTTCGCAAAGCCCGCTCAAGTGCAAAAAGTGCCACTCGAGCAGAAAACCAAAAATCTGGACAATAAGAGTTTGGAAATTAGGCAACCAACTTGTTCCAAACATAACCATAACAATCCCAAAGCCAAGTTTTAGGGAAAAGAAGGTAAGCAAGACATGTTCAACAGTACGAAACCAAGAAACCCGTATTCCAGATTACAGCAAGGGTTGGATCAAAATCGGAGTCGCTATAGCAATTGATGTGGCTTCTGCTTTGGATTATCTTCACAACCATTGCCACATTCCAGTCATACATTGTGATATAAAGCCAAGCAACATTCTTCTCGACAATGACATAACTGCCCATGTCAGTGATTTTAGTTTGGCAAGGCTCTTACAATTTCACAACGATGAAGTTTCTAATAGCCAAACTAGCTTTGTTGGTATAAAAGGAACCATTGGATATGCAGCACCAAGTAATCCACCATATGACTAAGAGAAATATATTGTGTGACTGGTAAACTCTCTAAAACCACCACTTTGGTGTTCCAATTCCACAAAATATGTATATCTATGCATTTGTTAGTATAACTTATTGATTTGTTAGTTTTTGCAAAAACATTTTTTTTGTAATTTTTGACATTTTAATGCAATGAAAAACGAAAGTGAATAAAATTTTTTTTTGTTTGTAATTAACAAAAAACAAACTTATTTAGAAGGATAATGTTCTCCATTATTGAAAGGTTGAAAACCGTTTTATGAACTTAATTCTTATCAACATCACTACACTATAACTGCCACATTCACCCCTCACCACCACCATCATTACAGCCATTATAGCCCATCATTACAGCCATTATAGCCCCATTGTCGTTGTCTCGCCAACACCACTACCACACCAATACTACCACTACTAGAACCAGAACCACTACTACATTAGTTTGAAGGTCCATTGAACATTTTTTTTCCCCATTTTATCAAAATAAACAGGGTGTAAGAGTGAATCTAAAATTTTTATCCTTGTATTGCAGAATATGGTATGGGAAGTGTGGTGTCCACTAGTGGTGATGTATATAGCTACGGAATCCTTTTGTTAGAATTGTTCATAGGAAAAAGACCTACTGGTGGCATGTTTAAAGATGGCCTAAACCTTTACAAATTAGCTAAGATAGCTCTGCTAGAAAGAGCGATGGAGATTGTTGATCAGAAACTTGTATCAACTATAGAAGAGGAGGAAACAACTAGCATAAATTCTAGGACACAAATGGGAAGGGAAAAATCCCATGAGTGCTTAACTTTGATGCTCAAGATTGGAGTTGTGTGCTCTCACGGGAACGAATAACCATTGTTGACGCGATTAAGGAACTGCATTTAGTTGAAGACATGCTACTTGAAAGAAGATTTCAAGCAGCAATGTGCAAACTGTTTCAAAGGGTAATTAAGGTACTCTGTTTTGGTGTTGGTCTATAGTTTAAATTTCGATTTTGAGTTACGTTACATGCTTATAAATAAAATACTAAAAATTCCACAAGAAGAGAGAAGAGATAGGGGCCACAAGTTGGGCACCCCCTCTTGTTTCTCTTATGTGAAACTTCATATGTTTTATTTCTAGGTATGTTTTTTATTTTCCTTTCTCATCTAATTAATCAATATATCATTTTGGTTTTGCTTTGATTACTATCACCATCTAGAATAATTTTGACTCGTCAAACTCAAATATTCAAATCAAGCCATTAAAATTGTAGAAATTGGAAAAGCTCGACAATGCGTCCATAAGGATGGTCTCAATATCTTATGAAATAATATTGGGAGTAACGCATTCAAAATTACTTGGATGTTTGAGGATCAAATTGACTCAATAGAAAATTTTTAAATTGAAATTGGAAAAATTAAAATTTATAAGATCAATTTGACATAAATGTATACTTTAATGATCATAAATGTATGTTATTCTTATAAACTATGATGACAAGATTTGACAAATTGACGAGGGGTGACTTTCACTCCCCCATAGATATTAATAAGCGAAATGTTTTGTGAAAATTTCTTTTAAAAAAATAGGCATGAAAGAGGTTTAACTCATTAGTTTACATTGTACATATATTGCTACAACATTCATTTGTGGTAAATTGCAATAGCTTATTATTAAAGGGATTTATTTTGGGATTAATAATTTAGGTCCAATTTTTTCAAGATTTTCCCCTAATCTTAATCAATACACGTGTGTGGGATGTAAGTGACTATAAAAATTGAATATTTATTTTAAAAGGTCCAATGCAATTTACTTTAGGAAGGGTCTAATGTCACCCTATCTTAAGAAGGTTCCATAAGTTAAAAAAAGGACAAATTCATTTTTTTTCCTTTATGATTTGATATCAGAACACATAATCTTCTATAGTTTAAAAATAGTTGGAAAGTCTTCATGTGGTGTGGACCAAATGCAACTATTAATATCGTTAACTATAGATGTGAAATGACAGTAATATCTCTAAATTGTATATATTTTTTATTATTTTCTTTCTATTTCCTTTCTTATACACATAATTTATAATGTCTAATATTAATTCAATTAAATCACAATTAATTATAATTTTTTAATTATTTATTTCAATTCTTAAATTGTTATAAATTTAGTTTAATTATATTTTAGATCACAATTAATCCTAAATATTTAATTATTTATTGCAATTCTTAAATTTTTATTCTAATTTTAATTTTATTTTATTTAAGATCATAATTCATCCTAAATTCTCAATTATTTATTGTAATTCCTAAAATGTTAATTTAATAATATTTTAGATTAATTTTTAATTATTATTTATTTTTATTTTTATTTAATTATGTTTTAAATCAATCCTTAATTATATTTTATATTTTAAATCAATTGTTAATTATATTACATTATAATTGACATATTAATCTAAATTTAGGCGTAGAGAAAATGGGGGTAAACTTATCTTTTTGTTGTATTAATTTAACTTTATTTTTTCAAAAAGCCAAACTCATTCTAAAAAATGGTGTGTGATACATCTTCCGTTAGTTTGAATAAAAAAACTAAATGTTGTACTTTACTCCAAACTGCATAGGGCTTTTTTATTATATTTGAACTATAGGGGATAAAGTACTCTAACTCCAAACCACGAGAGGTAAAACATATTTAACCAACAAAAAAAAAAAAAGTACAAGCATGAATTTTTTTGCACCAAGATAATTTCACTATACCTCTCAACTATGCCTGAATGTCTCTTTATCCCTCAACTTTAAAATCATACATTTAGATAAATCAACTATAAAAACTCATTCATCGTCACTCTCTCAAGGGATGTAATATTTATGTTTTTTATATGCACAATATTTATACTTTCTGCTGCAATTTGTTAAAATCAAGATCATGTCCTAGTCTGCTGCAATTAATTGACATTGTGTTAATTAGGTGATAATTATTATTTTTTTGAATTTGAATAAGCCTGAATCGTAGAACCAAACATAATCAAATTAATGTCTAGGGCTGGGCATAGGATTATCCAACCCGCCCAAACCGTCCTACCCGATCCGAACCGCACGCGTGTGGGCGGTTTCGCAAACACATTATGGTAGGGTGCGGTTTGAATTTTATATAAATTTTGGGTTGCGGGCGGGTTGCGGGTTTGAACCGCACCCGCCCAACCCGCCCGCATTAAATTAATTAATTTTTTTTTCTTTCAAATCTAACCGTCCATCATCATCTCACTTACTTACCTCATCTATACCAAACAAAACAAAAAACCCTAATCTAATCGTCTCCCTCACTCTCTCACTCAGTCGCCTCTCTCTCTCTCACCCTCTGGTTCATCTCTGCACCGATCACTCTCTCACTCTCTCGTTGTTCATCTCATCGCACCGCCGATCTACTCACAGGTAAACTCTCTCTCTCAAGCTCTGTCTCTCTCTCTCTCTCTCTCGGCCCGATGGTTGATTTTTTTTGTTTTCTATATATATATATATATATATCAAATATCTCTCTAATCTAATCTGTCTCCCTCACTCTCTCATCTCATCAGATCAGTCTCATCTCTGTCTCTCCCTCTCTCGCCCCGATCGACTCACAGGTAAGCCTCTCTCTCTCTCTCTCTCTCTCTCTCTCTCTCTCTCTCCTTGATCTCTCATCTCTGCGCTGCACTGATCGAATCTGTGTGTGTAATGTCTCTCTCATTCTGTGATGTCTGTAATGTCTCATTCTGTGATGTCTCTCTCTCGGATCAGTCTCATCTTAGTTGTGTTGATCTGTAATGTCTCCCTGATTCTGATTTTTTTTTTTCTAATCTCACCTTTGTGTTTTTTTTTTGATCTTAGTTGTGTTGAATATGTAATGTGTTGATCTTAGTTGTGAAATCTGAAATTTGTATGTTAATTTTATTAATTCTGAAATCTGAAATCTGAATCTGAATCTGAATCTGAAATCTGAATTTGTTTCGTTTGATTTTAGTTGTTTTGGCCTCTGAAATTTGAATCTAAAATCTGAATCTGAAATCTGTATGTTGATCTTAATTTTATTAAATCTGAAATCTGAATCTGTATGTTAATTTTATTAATTTTGTATGTTTAATTTGAATTTGAATCTGAATCTGAATCTGAAATCTGAAATCTGAATCTGTATGTTTAATTTTGTATGTTGAATCTGTAAGTTGATCTTAATTTTATTAATCTGAATCTGTATGTTAATTTTGGTACATCTGAATCTGTCTGTATAATTTTGGAATTCAATCTAATCTGCTATTAAAATTGAATCTGTGTCTGTAAAATTGATTCTGTGACTGTATTTTTGTAATCTAGTTTAAATGGAGGATAGTATTCAATCTCCCGCAATCAATCTTGTACCTTCGGAATCCTCTAATTCTCAAATGAATCCTCTCTTAGTCGAACTCGAACCTGAACTTAAACCTGAACCTAAGCCTCCTAGACCCCCAAAGAGAAAGAGTGAGAGTGGAGGGGGGAGAGCACCATCCACAGTTTAGGATCATTTTGACAAGGTTGTAGGGACCGATGGGAAGCGTAGAGCCGTATGTAAATATTGTAAGAAAGAGTATATGGCTGACTCTAGAACTCATGGGACTAGTAATTTGAGGAGTCATATACCCAATTGTAAAGAATATCCAAATAGGGATATAGATGGTCAACAAACACTAAATCTTAAACCGAAACAAAATGAAGAGGGTGTTGAGGTTGTAGCAACAATTTTTAATTTTGATACTTGTAAAAGGGCTCTTGCGGAGATGGTGGTCATTGATGAGTTGCCATTTAGATTTGTGGAGGGTGTTGGGTTTAGAAGATTTTGTAATGTCATGCAACCCAAATTCACACCAATTCCCTCTCGTCAAACCATATCTAGAGAAGTGCTCAATATATTCAAGAATGAAAGGGATAAGTTAAAGAAGGCCATGAAAGGTCGTAGAATTTGCTTTACTACGGACACTTGGACATCTATTCAGAATTTGTGTTACACGTGTTTGACTGCTCATTTCATTGATGATAACTGGAAACTTCAAAAAAGAATCATAAATTTTCAACAAGTTGAGGATCACAAAGGAGAAACATTGGGTCGAAAAATTGAGTCGTGTTTGATTGGGTGGAACATTGATAGCATATTCACCTTAACAGTTGATAATGCTAGTTCTAATAATCTTACCATTCAATATTTGAAAACGATAACCAAATATTGGAAGGAGACTATTTTGCAACATGAGTTTATTCATATGCGTTGTTGTGCACATATTCTTAATCTCGTTGTGAGTGATGGGTTGAAAGAAATGGATGATTCTATTGCCAACATCAGACTTGCGGTGAGATATGTGAGGTCTTCTCCTCATAGGCATGATGTTTTTAAGAAGTGTGCGGCCACACTCAAACTTGATTCAAAAGCTCTTGTATGCCTAGATGTACCAACTAGGTGGAACTCTACCTATTTGATGTTAGAGGCCGCCGAAAAGTATGAGAAGGCTTTTAACCGATTGAAGTTTGTGGATTCCAACTTTGAACCTTATTTCAAGGATGTTGATGGTGGCATAAGAAGAAGTCCGAATGAGTTGGATTGGAAAAAGTGTAGAATTTTTTTGAGGTTTCTAAAATTATTTTATGTTGCAACTAAGAAATTTTCGGGGTCTCTCTTTGTTACTTCCAATGCTTTTTACAAATAGATGTTTGTTATTGAAAGCAAAATTAACCAATTAATTTTGGAGGAGGATGATACTTTAAGCACAATGGCAAGGACTATGAAGCTAAAGTTTAGCAAGTATTGGGGGGATGGAAGTAAAATCAATTTGTTGTTGTATGTTACGGTGGTTCTTGATCCTACCAAAAAAATGA